TAGAAATCAGAAATCATTTTGACAATTGTAATTACAAAAAGTCTATTTATAATATTGATGGTAGGCAATAAAAATCTTGTCACTCCATCTAGTTTTAAAAACCACACAATTTCAGTCTCTGAGCCTTTCAGTTGACAGAATGAATAACCCCAATTTCAACATTTTATAGTAATATCATTTTAGTGATATTTCTAGTTGATAAAGTTATCTATACAGACATTGAGTAAGTTGATTCCAGAGTAGGTGATTGCGGTGTTGAAATACAGAACTGTGAATTAAGGTTTATACCTATATATATTTATATATAGCCACTAGAAACATCACTAAAATTAATAATAAAGAATGTTGAACTTGGAGTTAGTCATTCTGTCAACCGAAAGGCTCATATATGCCTACAGAGGTTTGAAAGAATATCTGAATATTTAACCTATAAATGATTAAGGATCGTGGGACTATCAGTTATTAATCTGTTATTTTCCATTGTGATGTTTATTAAAACAAAATTACGAGATTTTCATTGCCTGCTATGGATAGGTCAAAAGTTGTCACACTACTTGTAAGTGGATAATGTTGGGATTTCGCAAAACGAAAATATATCAAATTATTCAATCATCTAATTTTCTAAAAGGTTACATGATGGTTTTTTTTCGGAATAAATGTATGATAGATATCTAACTATTTAAATATAATATCTTGTCTGATACTGATACTCTATAGTAATTATATTTGAGGTTATAAACATATCCATGAAATATTTTTATATTTCACTTCTTCTTTCACACAAGTACAATGAAATAGTATTTTAAACAATGGCTCGATTCGGTGGGTTTTAAATACTTTTTTTCAATCATAGAAAAATATTTAAAACTTTACATGTAGTAAAAAAATTTCATGGAAACATGTGATTTATGTTAAATAATGTTAGTTTTCTAACATTATTATTTATAATGTTTTCGCCACTCTCCTTTACCTTCTACAACTTTCTATATTAGATATTATAAGTATACCTTCTGACTGGTATTTCCGGAGATTCATTTTCGACTTGGATAAGCATATTTATTTTTTTCTCCTTTATTATATTATCAAATTCTTTCAAAAATAAGATTTAGCATTTTTTCGTAACTCTGAATAACTTGAAATGATAATTTTTTTTTAAATAAACCATATTAAAGGTACTGTAGAGGAAGACGCATATGAACATTGGGCATTTAAGCCCTATAAAGTGACATCAATGGGAATAAGATCTAAATGATATTAAAGACCACTTAATTATACAATGATATACCGAGTTTAATCAAAATCGTTAGAACTGTTTTTGGGAAAATTGTAAAAATGTGTTTCAGCGTGCATATAAAGTGGCACTTCCGTTTAGCCGATTTTAACGAAATAAAGTTGCTGTCACATCTGGCTCATACAAACCTTAAATACTTAATATCAGTTTTGTACTACATTTCGTTTTTGAGCTAGACTGTTAACACACACACACACACACTATTTTGCGAGATTATTTCGACTCAGGAGACCTCACAACATGTATTTCAGTTGAAAATTGAGATTTGAAAATTTTCACGATCGAAATACTTTCCTTTACTATATATTTCATATATACGTAAGTGAAAGTAAAAACGATAGGTAACGATATCAATATGTTATCGTTACAAATTATCAGAGAACATGGAAGGCGTTATTTTTATGGAAAAACCTTGTACAACTAAAAGAGCACATTATGCACTCTTCAGGAATGAATTCATATATATTTTTTTAAGGTAATATGAATACCTGGTGTAAAAGTTTGTTTTTTCAAAATTTGTCATTACCGCACGTCTAATATTTTCCGTTGAGAACCCACAAGAAGGAATTGCATGCAGCCTGCGTGATCATATTGTAGGAGCAACACTACCGACACACGGGAAATCGGTTTTTCCTTCGTTTTCCAACAGGAGCGATCGCATCTCCCTCCCCCTAATAAAAATAGATGAGAGGCCAGAATATCGTTTCGCCCCACCCCCCTCCCCACACGAACTAATAAAACCATTTGCACAAGCTCGGCTATGTTTTCAGCCTTAATGTTTGAGTCACTCATATGATTTTTGTAGTAGACATCCCTTTGTGTGACATTCCGTGAGGGAATGAGAAGGAATATATAATATATAGGAATGTGAGGTTGCACTGTGAATTGTACTTTGTACTACACTGTGCAGTGGACAAATTGTTCTTTGAAAAGTCTCATGTCGATAAACAATCGACGAAGAAGGAAAAAGGTCCGGTCAGGGAGCAGCAGCTGGAAGAGGACGCCAGGCACTGGAGGCTGAGACATTGAGGCGGAAAGACATACATAGGAAGAGAATCTACTACAAGATTTAGAAGATCAATTCTATAGTTGTAACACTTTAATAGAGTCAATTTATATCAGTTGTTAAAATAAATTGTTGTGTTAGACAGGAGTGAATAGTCCTTTTATTTAGTTGTCCTATAGGCCTCACGATTGAAGAATAAACCAGGTGAGTCAATTCATTCAAAGTGTATTTACTAAGTCCCACATTTCAGATATATATTCTTCTTGTTTCTTCTCACTCAGTGTCACAAAAAGTATTAGATTCCTGAATTCACAACAACAGTTAAACACCCTCAAAAAGTCTATATCCAGGGCCGGGGTTTTGTTTTAATATTCACGAGTGTAAATAACCTAGTTCCCCGATATAAAAGCGGAAGGCTATATCCAATTCCCGCCAAAACATATTATTTACATTAAACTTAATTAGGTTATTTACATTTTTTTTTTCAAAATAACAAAAAATGTTATTACTTCAATACGACTTTAGCAATCTACAAGAAATTTAGTTTGAAATGTCAAAATGGACCTTTTTAAAAATTATTTCTAGTACAGGCAAACGCTTAGTTTAATTTACTGATTTTGGTGATTTTATGGAAACTTAGGTAAGTAGGCGAGAAGAATTGAGTCGCTGATTCCAAAGTGAACACCAATCGATTTGTAAATCGATAACAATTCCCATCTAAAATATCCAATGAGTCCGATGATGCTATTATTTATTTATTTTTCACTAACGAGAGTAAAACAGAATGCACGGCTGCTCAGCTGTGTTGCGTTGCTAAATAACAGAGCATAATCATCAATGATCATCTGTTCACCCCAAAAAAAAAAATTAAGAGGGTTGGGTCGTACAATTGTAATACATACCTTAAAAGGCTGAAAATAGTTCACAGAGTCAAATAAGCGAAGGCCAAGATCAATATACAGGGTGTTTCGTAATTGCACGGCACTGTTCACTAACACAAAATAAACAAAAAAGTGCATATCAACATATATCTCAAACTCATTTATTAAACATATACCAAAGGTTTAAGATTTACTATTTACTATTAGGCCCGAAAAAATCACACAGAATATTGTTATCAAATGCCAAATTAATAAGCATATAAAATAATGCAACGCATCAAAAGATAAAGAAATCAATTGTTACTTTATCGATAAATACAATCGCCAAAGGAAACAAAAATTAATTTAAATCTTTGCTAAAAATTGTTCGATTTCGATGATTTTTTTCCCATTTTGTAGGGAATTTGGTAATATTTTATAGAATCATGGCCAAGAGTTTTTAAAGTTTGTAATTTCTTAATTATTCGCAAATAAAGTTTCTTTTCTTCCATAACTTTCTTGTTTCTTTCTTAGTATCCCTGAATTTTCGAGGTGATTGGACTATTTTGCACGCCTGAAGGAGAAGGAAGCCTTCGAAATTGGTGGCTCAATCTTGGTGAAGAATTAACGATGACACGGCTTGCCGATCAAAAACACCATCGATAAACACTAGCGGATTCAGGATTTATTTTTTTTGGGGGAGGGGCTTCAGCCCGAAAGTTTTGTTTTTCATAAAAATAACGATAATTACTTTGGAAAAAAAGAAAGAAACTAACTTCCTGTATGAAATGGTGTTTAAGTTATTCCTAAAGCCCTTTTAAATGTAATTACATGAATAATAATACTTTAAGAGATACTTAAAAATATTTTTTCCGATATTTTTTACCATTTTGGGGGGGGGGGCTTCAGCCCGAAAGCCCCTTCCCCCTCCCCCTCCCCGTAGATCTGCCCGTGTTGATAAATAATATAAACTCCTCCTCTCTCGATCATAGAGGCCTCATGTCTACGAAATGAGACATGTATCCAATGACAGTACTACAACTAACGTCAGATTGTGTGGATGCGAACCCTATGGCTTGCGTTATCTCGAAAATAGTACGTTTTTGGGCTTAAAAACGTAGGATCTGATAGTTCCGGGTCTTGCTGTGCGCATCAAAATCTTCAAAGCCCAATTTATCCCGTATCGATCTACAGACTTACCACCGTTCCAGTATCGAAGCCTAGTAAATTGTTTGTATCGACTTAGAAAGAAAAACAAATGTGGAGAATACGATTCGCTAAGCCCCGTGAAATTCTGAATCCCCATTCGTGGTATTTAAGCATGACAGGAGCTTATGTTTGGTACAAAACCGATTTCGAGCCTTACTGTAATAATATATGTGGGGATTATTACTATTTATTTATTATTATCACAACATTTAGAGTAACTGTTCTAAGGGACCTCCGTTTTGTTGAATGCAACATTCAGCACGACGAATCCATGCTTCTCTGGCTCTTCGTATAGCATCAGGATGGTGCTTGATAGTTACTGCGGCTTCCACGATTCTTACGTCTTCTTGGGTGCCAACTGCCGCAGAATAAACCACATACTTCATCCAGCCCCACACGAAATAATATGGTGTTAAATCCGGAGATCGTGGCCATTTAACAGGTCCGATTTGTCCAACCCATTGGTTTTCATAATTTGCATTTAAATAATCAGTGACACTATTAGAAAAGTGAGCTGGAGCACCGTCATGCATAAATTAATTTGCAAAAAATGCAACTAAAATATACCTAACAACGTATATGCCAACCTAGGTGGCAAAAAGAAAGGGCCGATATTGTCGCTTAGAAGTCCACATCAGACATTTAAAGAAAAGGTAAGTAGGAAATCTCCGACAGCAGTCGTATGAGGGTTTTCTTCAGCCCAAGTATGGGTATTTCGAAAATTAAGAATCCCGTTTCTTGTAAAGCAAGATTCACCAGTAACCAAAATACAGCTCAGGAAGTTAGAATCTCGTGTGCATTGTCGAATTAACCACTGGGAAAAATTGTTATAATCTTGTGGTAACAAATCTTGCCTAGTCGATACGTGAAATGGATGCAATTGTTGTTCGCCATATGCTGGTAGAGTGAACATCGAAACGACGTGACAATCTTCTGGTACTAGTAGTAGGAGATAACTGAAGAGCATCGAGTATTTCTTCTTCAACGTTTGCAGTTCGTCGAAATCTTTGTCGACCGGCGTTTACTCGTATAGGTTAGCGTGCTATTATCCATAAAGGTACTATTTGGCTGGCGCGGTCGACGACAGCGACCGCTATTCCACGCTGCCAACCGCTACTGCCGTAGCTATTTCGTTGAAACTGCTCACTGGAATTGTTATAACCTGCCTATAACCTTCGAATATTTCGCTGTATCTTCGAAGATAAAAAGATAGACATAATATAATAATCAAAATGATCATCCTATAATAATGAACATCTCTGACTACCGCTCTTTTATTTGAGTTGGAAAAAGAAGAGAAAATGTAGTTCATAAAGAGAAGGAATATCAGTATTTCGATGTGATGCTCATCATCAAAGTCCCTCTGATATTAGATATTATTAGTTTGAAAAGTAATAGTAATTAATACACAATTGATTAGTAATAAATATCATATATTTGTAATTAAAATTCCAGCAGGCGATGTTTTATAGTATTATCAATAGTAATCAATAAGTCACCACTTTAATTAAAAAATACAAATCGATTTTTCAATGGGTGAATTTTTTAGTATTTACATGACGATAAAATTTGTTGGATTCTTTAATTTATTTAATATCGTTTGTATTTCGCTGTAAAATATTGCTGGTGGAATAAATAAATGAATAATCTTGTTACTTCAAGCTTAAAAAAATAATTTACTATCGCATTGTTTCAGTTTTAAACAATATTTGTTATAATTTTGCCAGACTTGAAAGAAACATAGGAAATAAAGCGTATCGACGTGACTGTTATCATCAAAACAATTCTCCGATATGATAACATAACCTACAACCGCCGAACCGCCAACAGCTTCACTGCTTCAGATAGGAGCAGTTTAGATATGACGTCAGACCTAGACTGCCGAGCAGCGCCAGCGAAATAGGTTCCTTTCTATTCCACTAAAGCAGTGGTCAACCGCGAGCAGTCGCGGTCGTGGACCGCGCCAGCGAAATAGTACCTTAAGGCGTCTTTCAATAGCCTCAAACGTTTTACGATTTGGTATTCTTCGGTTAGGAAATTTTTCACGATATCTTCAAACACAGCAGCACCGTTTCTATGTACCTCGCCATAAGTTAAAAGCATATCCGTTTATTCTGCAAAAGTGAATACATTTATCTCGTCTCCCATGATGATCATAAATTGAACTGTGTCACAGTATTCACTCACATTAAAACACACAGAACTAGACAAACAGATGAGCAACTACTGTCATTGCTTATCGTTCAATTTAGTAATAAAATTATACAGTCAGTCTTAATGTAGTAAATAAATAATAAATCTTTAACCTTTGATATCTGTTTAATAAATGAGTTTGAGATATATGTTAATATGAACTCTTTTGTTTATTTTGTGTTGGTGAACATACATAAAATAGTGCCGTGCAATTTCGAAACATGTTTGTATGTTTTGTATGTTCCACTTCTGGAACAATGGCATGTAAAAGTTAATATGATTATAACCATTTTTAGAACCAAATATATTTTAATAGATAATTGAAACAGGTTGTAATGGCACAGAATATCTTCAATTTCTCAATACAATATTTCTTTATTTGTGATATAAAATATTTATTTCTTTTTCTTTTTTTTTTCCAGTTTTGTTATACACTTTATTTTGTTCAAATGCTCATCTTGATAATTCGGTATTCGGTGTTGGGACACATTGTGAAATTTGATGGTAAGTTTCTTTTATATTTAATTTCTTAGATAGAATTTATATGTATATGTAAGATATTTTAATATTAATCAATAATAATTTACCACTCATTTTATACATCAATTTGCATATGTAAAACATGTGAGGATAAAATACTCACTTTGGCTCAGTACACCTCAAGAAGTAAGCATTGATCGTTACAAAAAATTTAACACACTAATCAAAGAACATAAACAAACCATTTATCTTATTGCGGCATTAGTTGGAAATAGTTCTAACTGACAAAATTGGACACATTGAGTTTTCACTCAGGAATTACTCACAACAAAGTTATTATTGTTCCAAATGAATTTTAGTCATCTATTAATTTAGTCATCTATTAATTTAGCCATCTATTGAAACATAAATAAAATGGTAGTGTGACGGGATTCTAACTACAGACAACTAGTTGGTTTATAGTTATTTGAAAGAGATTTCAACATGAAATCATATTATCTTATATACACTGACAGGCAAAAAATTCCACCCCCTTGATTTTTTCATGTTTTCATCTAAAAATATGACTGATTTGGATTGGTCTATTGTTTTTAATGAATAAATAGGTAATCTTTTTATTTGTTTTCAATTAGGAATGTTAATATAGAGAATAATAACCCTTAATCCTTAATTCAATGAAATGATTCTAGATTCCAATGTTTAGTTCAGTGCCGTTTCTTGCACATTTCTTAGTCTCCAGCTTTTAATTTTTTCAATATTAAGTTTAAAAATGCCTCTTAGTGCTGAGGATGATGCGCGTGGTGTGGCACTTATTGATGATGGGCGTTCCATTAGATATGCAGCTAATGCCATCGGAGTTCCGTATGAAACTTTACGAGACGCCGTCAGGCGTTTTCCAGAAACTGGTTCTTACAATAGAAGGCCCGGTTCTGAACGGCCACGGGATGACCGGTTTTTGACTTTGAGAATTATACGAAACCTTACCGTTGTTCAAGCGATTCATCAGCTTGAAGAAGTTCGAGGTGTGCAAATTTCTGAGCGTACCGCTCGGAGAATATTAAGTAAGTATGGATTAATGGCTTTTCGTTCAGTAAGAGGTCCCGAGTTGACCAGAACTACAGAGTAACACGGCTGGCTTTTGCTCGAGAACACAGCCATTAGACTATGGACGAACGGAGTGCTGTACTTTTTACAGATGGGTCAAGATTCGCTCTTCGTTCTCCAGACGGGTGTGAAAGGGTGTGGAAAAGAAGAAACGAAAGATATGCAGCCTGTAGTTTTTCCCAGAGCCAACACTTCCAACGTGGTTCCTTAATGGTGTGGGCTGGGATTTCAATGGAACGCCGCACAGAATTGGTTGTTGTTCGTGGAGGGTCTTTGACGACCATTCGCTATGTAGATGAGATTATGGAACCTCATGTGTTGCCTATCTAATGCTGCCCTACTACATAGGGTTGCTTCGTACACAGCATACTTATCAATCCGTACGGACATTAATTTTATATTATATTTTTCTTTTTTTTTTCTCCCACTTCATACTCTTACAAATTATCAACAATAAACCGTATTAAACAATAGACACAGCGTAATAAACACTTTCCCAAAATAAAAAAATTCCTTTTTTCTCTTTAAATTCTCAAATGCCAGGAACGCAATATAACATCGCACACATATATAACACAGCAATTCCTTGAATGTAGCCAAAAAGATAAGACGATTATGGACCAATTTAAAATTTAATAAATAATTACTAAACTACAGTAAATTTATTTAATATTATAAACACACGATTTATACATCCATGAAATGATTTTATATTTTATTTCTTCTTTCACACAAGTACACTGAAATAGTTTTTTTAACAATGCCCTCAACTTGCTTAGGTGGATTTTAAATACATTTTTAAAAAATTAGCATTACCTTATTAACACATTCAAAATTCAAAAACCGAAACAAAGGATATAACCATTGCAGCAGAACGTATTTTAATTTTTTTTTCTCCTTTATTAACTTATCAAATTCTTTCAAAAATAAGATTTAGCATTTTTTCGTAACTCTGAATAATGCGAAATAATTATTTTTTTTAAAATAAACCATATTAAAGGTACTTTAGAGGAAGACGTATATGAACATTGGGCATTTAAGCCCTGTAAAGTGACATCAATGGGGATAAGACCTAATTTATGTTAAAGACCACTTAATTATACAATGATACATCGAGTTTAATCAAAATCGTTAGGGCCGTTTTTGAGAAAACTGTGAAAATGTGTTTCAGCGTTGATATAAAGTGGCACTTCCGATTAGCCGATTTTAAGGAAAAAGTTGCCGTCATAACTAAGGCATATAGGTATCATAAATACGTAATATCAGTTTCATAGGACTTTCCGTTTTTGAGCTAGACTGCTAACTATCGGGACTTGGTCATTTCGACTCAGGGTACCTCAAATCCGTCGAAAACTCAGATTCAAAAATTTTCTCGATCGCAATACTTACACTTACTATATATTACATATATACGTAAGTGACAGTAAAAAGTGTATATCTGAAAATTAGTTAATGATTCAATAATATCAATAATTTTTCCTAAAGCTATATACATATAAATAAATAAATAGTTATTCCTAAAATAATATAATATAGTCCTTACTCTAAATACCTATATATAGCCTTTTACAAAAAGAAACAGATGTCATTGAGTTTGTCCGCACTATCAATATTTAGAAGATTTTCCAAAGATAATTGTTTATTGTTTTGGACAATATAATCTCCTTGGTATTTTTCCCTATCAATACTTAGTCTGGGGCATTGCAATAGCAGGTGTTCCATGTTTTGGGTGATATCTTCTTGACACCATCCACATTTTTCCTCCACTTTTATAACTAAAGTGGTATTTTTATTAATAAGTTTCAGCTTTTCTGTATCTGAAATTCTTAATTGGCTAACTAGTCTCAATTTGTTTATATTTACATGGTAGGTTAAATATTCTTGCGGCTGAGGGTTGTTAAAGCTACAAACAGTTCTGTAAAGTGGGTTGTATTTAGAGAGCTCTATCAATATCTATAGAGTAGAGATGATTTTTTACTTTTTCGATAATTATGTCTTTATTATTAAGTAAGTAATTTGGTTTTAGCTCTTCAAAAAGGTCGTCAACAATATAATTATTTGCTGCTATTTTTTTAATTTGTGAGATCCAGCTAAAACCTGAGTCTCTCTCTTTTGTATCTAAATTAATGAGTCTGACAAGGCATTTGCGTGGCAGTCGGTTTTCAGGCATTGAAAGAAGCTTAATACAAA